CCCCCCCCCCCCCCCCCCCCCTCTCTTTTGTTCAGGTGGCAGGCACTACCGCTACCGATCCGGATGGGTCGGGTGTTCTGTGCATTGGAGACGTTGGTGGCCAGACGCAGTACATCTTCCACATCATCGCCCTCGCTCTCAGAGAGGTAATAATGTAATAATCGGTATTTTCCATTTGCTTGTGTACGGCGCGTGTTGTTGTGTACCCTAGGGTCTTGTTCGCCCCTCTGGTGCTACTGTTCTCACCCCTGTGGAGTTGCTGGTGTGCTTGTGGGTACCAACTCACTGATTGGCACGACCTTGCTTTGCTGTGGTGGCGAGCGATGTGTTTTAACGTTCTTGGTTAGAAATCATCGCATGGGTCACGGGACACGATGATCTCAGTCATGTGTGAAGCGTGACTTCGTGTTGTTTGTCCTCCCCTCGCCCCCACCGGAACGGTTGGCCATCGGTGACCGGTCCATCCTGTGGGAACAGTGCTCCGTCCTCTGGAGGACGCGTGACAAGCAAGACATGAATATGCCCCCCCGCACCTATGTTGTTCTGGGAGCTCCCCGAGTAGATTACGCGTTCGTATATTCTCAACAAGGTAGCATGCCTCAAAGTCTCATATCATACAACCCTTGCCATCACTTCCATGTGTTCTCGACATGGCATGCCTCAAAGTGTCATACAACCCTTGCCATCACTTCCGTATATTCTCAACACGACGGTAGCATGCCTCAAAGTCGACTTTTTGACACTCTTCCGAGCGCTTGGGAATGTTCGAGTCAAAGCTCCGCGTCGTCGGGGAAGACGAAAACCTTTTCACGGGTAGTGTGTTCCGCCTACGCTAAACATTCGTTGGTAATTTGTCCCAGACCCGTTATTTATTGATAAGAGATGGATTTGGCGTGTTGTGTGAAGAGTTGCAAGTCTTTATTGACGATCGATCGTAACAGAAGGATGGTGATGATTTGTTTTCTTGAACAGGCCGGGTGCTCCTTGGAGAACGTGGTGAGGACTCGCATGTACGTGACGGACATCAAGAACGCGGAGAAGGTGATGGCGGAACACTGCAAGGTCTTCAGCAGCATCCGCCCTGCTGCGACCCTCGTCAGCGTGAGTTAGTTGCGCCGCATGTCGAGGCAGTTTGTGTGTTGTGTTTTTTTTGCTCTGCTTTTTTTTTTTTGTTGAGGCAGTGCTTGAATAACGTCGGGAAAAAAATCATTAGATGACTTGTTGTTGGCGAAAAAAATCAGAGACGGGTTCGTTGAAAATTGTCATCAAGTCACTCCTCTGACTCCTGTGTACGCCATCCAGGAGACATGAGACGGGTTTTTGATGACCTGAAAATCGATTTGTTTCGTCAACAGGAGATGATGTGTCTGCGGAACATTTTGTTAAGACTACAGTACAGTAGTCGAGGGTGGTGTGACAAAGGCCGTCGACCCTCTTATATCCGAACCCCCTCTTGCACCGGAATAAGAGGGTACGGAGCTATGCTTTAGCGGGTCGAGTAGTCCGTGACAACCGATTTCGACCCTCTTGTATCGGACCCTCCTCCTATAAGGTACCCTCTTATATCGGACCCTCCTCCCGTAAGGTACCCTCTTATATCGGACCCCCCTCCTATAAGTTACCCTCTGATATCGTCGCTCGGAGCCACGGCTGTATGCCTCTTATGCCTATTATTCTGCTTTGTTCAAGAGTGAATAATCTTATCATTTTTTTCGGCGAATTCGACGACTTGTGCCACGTACTTCACTTTTTGTTTTCAATGCAGGACGAAACTTCGTTGTTATGCGTATGTTTCGTATACGTACGCGACGGTGCTTTGCCTCTTGTCGTCCGGTTTTTCAATGCTGGGCGAAGCTTCGCCATTTTGTTTAGTATATATACGTGCGCGACGATACTTTGTCCTTTGTCCGGTTTTTCTTTTCTGCTTCGTTGTTGTGTTTGGGATACCTATGCGACGATGTGCGAACACGTTTTTTTTTTTTTTTTACATTCTTTTCCTGAAAACAGGTGAGCTCTCTCGTCCACCCGGACCTGCTCGTGGAGATCGAGGCGGATGCGCTCGAGCCCTAAGAAGAAAAATCAAAGAAATCGGTCGGTGAACTCCTCACCCCATCAAGCGATCGGTATGCAAGTTGTGTGCCGGAGCTCTTCTTGGTCCTTTTTTCTTTTTTCCTCGACGAGCTAAATAACTAAATGGGCTCTGAAGGGCGAGGGACGTAATGATTGTGTTGTGTCCCGAGAGTCGTTGTTGTTGCGCACGGGGAACAACTTCTCTCTTTGGGGATGAGCGAAAGTGACATCAATTGTGGCGTGGGTCTCGGCTGTGCCCCGCCGGGCATAGAAAATTTCCACCATACATACCTCTCCCGCCGCTGTTTCTACACCCCGCCTAGTGTCGTGCTCTAGGTGGTCGCGTCTTATCCCGGTGTGGGTATCAACATTTAGGTAGTTCAGTACTTCGCATGGGTTTTGTTTGTGGGGAGCTAAGCTGGGCGTCGCAGATGCACACTGGTAGTTTTGGTAATAGAAGGATTGGCATCAAGCCCTTCGTTGGCGAGTTCTGTCAATGGTGGTTTTCCACCTTTCAGGTAGTCGCTCCGCATGTAACGCTTGTTTTTTTTTTTTTGCCTTTTCTTCTGCGAGCGACTCGTGGTTCCCGCTCGGCAGCTCCTACTCTTTTCGTTGTCGTGGCCGTTGTTGTGTGTGTCGGGGTGTGTTGTTTTGGAATAAAACGGCTGCTGTTCCACTGCTGTGTGTATTTGATCGTGTTAATTTTTCTCACGAAGGAGGAGGCGAAGACCTTGGCGACTGGCGGTAGGTTGGCCTAGGAACCTAGATGCGTAGATTCCATGCGAGGAAGCGTGCCGCGATTTCCGCATTTTCTCTGGGGGGGGGCGGGGGGGTGTCCTTTGCTTGGTTGCGCGCGGGTAAAGCAACCCTGTTGATTTTGATGCGTTTAACACTGGCTTGATCGTGCCTTGTTCGTGACGGGGGAGTGGAGGGGGAGATGTGTACTTCCTAATGGCTTGCGGCAGATTGCGCCGATATGTGTATACGCTTTAACGTTCTCGATGTGCCGGAGAGAAAAGCTTGTACATACAACAGGTACGTTATTTACGTGCCAAGCGGAGCTACCGGTCATGTCTTACGGGGGGGTCTCAATTTTGTTTTGTGGTGGCCGTGTCATGCCCATTTAGCGTGGAAGCATCAGAACTTGTTCTGGTCCGCACACTCCGACGTGCATTCCTTGGGTTTCGAAGTAACCCGGGGATTTTTCACATACCTCTTGCTTAGGCAATACATTCTGCCACTGCTGATGCTAGGAGAACCTGGACTCCCCCAGTCAGCAAACGGGCGGATCCTTGCGCGAATTGAAGCGACTGCTGGTAGTAGTAGCGTAACCCGCCAACCTTCACCGGCGACGTGGTTCCCGAGGTTGACTATGGCAAGAGGATGAAAAAATGTGCGTGCTACAATACCCGGGTGAAGGGAATTGTTTTGGGGATGATAACGTGGATTTCTTTAGGTTCCAGGAGGCAGGCGAGGAAGAGTTAAGACTGAGAACCAAAGGTTTCGCTCAGGATGGAGACACATATTATTTACTGGTTATTATGTTTTGGTGCAGGATGATGCTGACTTCGTAGGATGCATGTACGACAGCAAGTGTGCGTGCTTGTGGGACGGAGGAGCGAGGAAGATCCCTGAAGACCGCAAGCCCGGCCCCTTTTTTTGTTTTGGTTGGTTCGGGTAGTAATGTGTTGGGTGTAGATAACGTACACATTCCGTGGTTACCGTCTACGTGACCCTCCCTCGGTTCCGCCGGATGCGTTAGACCGGGCCTCGTGCGGGGCAGACTACGGTTTCCACGATTCGCATCCATCGTGTGAGACGGTACTTACATGTAGACTATGGGTGCCTTTTAACCGCGGCCCAAGTTGCGCCGGTTGTTCACGTTTTGGGCTCCAGATCTTGCAGGACCTCGCGAAGAGTAGTTGCCCAACATCTGGACTATTTACCGTTGCTTTACCGGGCGATTTTTCTGTCCTTGGCTCGCGAGTTGGACGGCTCGGTGCTGACGGTTTCAATACTTCTCGGAGGCGTTAATCATGTGAGGGCGGGGCGAGGGGGCTCTTGAGCGGCATGTTTTACTTAGTCGAGTAGGTCGAGAGAGCGAGCGATCGTGAGTATGAACGCGAATAGGCACAAAAATCGATTTGTCTTTTGGCTCGTGGCGGTAAGCAACTGCTGCTTTCTCGTCTCTCTTCGGGACACCTTGGCTACCCGTCAGGGTTAGGGGTGGGATTAGGGGGTATAGCCCTATTGACCCCCCGTGCGAGCGGCAACACAGCGTGCTCGGCGGCATGGGGCATGGTTTCGTGGTTGTCCCCGGGAATGGGTTTGAGCTATCGGCGATTGGCCCGACCTTTTGTCGGTGCCCGCGAGGAGGAAGCTCCCAAGGGGACATCGAAATGGCAAATATTGATGCCAAACCCTGCGGTTTGAGGGAGTTCTTGGTGTATGTGTAACAGTAGGATGTTGTTGCTTCTGAGACCGCGCCCCACGGATGCTGAGCTACCCTTCCTTCTCCTTATGACTATCAAGATTATCAAGTATGGAATCGGGCGCACGCGGAGGGGAGGGGGGGG